TCTGAGTTGATTTATGCATGTCAGTCCGTCTGTCCGTGCGTCCGTCCGTCTGTCCATGTATTCTTGTGAACAAAATGCAGGTCGCATTTATTATCCGATTGAGATGAAATTTTCCAAACAACATATGTTTGGCCCAAGGACGAACCCTAATTGGAGATAATCGGTCAACATTTAGATATAGCTCCCATATATATCTTCGTCCGATTTGCCTTTTATTGTGCACCAAACGTGTAATATCAGTCCGAATAGTATGGAATTTTGCACGTACGATCAGATTTGACCTGAAAATAAGTATGCCAAATTTGATCGAAATCGGTTCAGATATAGCTATAGCTCCCATATATATTGTTCATCCGATTTGTTATTTTTGTCCTCCGCAGCCGTAATATGCACTCTGTAACAACAATTTTTGGGGAAATATATCAAATACAGCTCAGAAATACATTTGCTAAATTTTATCGAGATCGGTTGAGATTTGGATATAGCTCCCATATATAACTTCGTCCGATTTACATTTTATTGTGCACCAAACGTCCAATATTTGCCCAAATGGGATGGAATTTGGCACCTACGACCGAATTGAGTCTAGAAGGTAGTATGCCAAATTTGGTGAAGATCGGTTCAGATATAGCTATAGCTCCCATATATATTGTTCATCCGATTTGTTGTATTTGTTACCCACTGCCGTAATATGCACTCCGTAACAACGATATTCAAGGAAATATATCAAATACAGCTCAGAAATATCTTTGCCAAATTTTATCGAGATCGGTTCCGATTTGGATATAGCTCCCATATATATCTTTATACGATTTCAAATTAATTGTGCACCAAATGGGCAATACAAGCCCGAATTTAAAAGATACAAATGCTTCGGCATATTTAGTCCTTTGAACTTTAAATTATAATTATAATCATAGCGTGTATGATTGAATTCTCCCATAAGAACTTTTAATTTTTATGAGAAGCTCTACTAAATTAGCAAAGTGGTGTAGAGTATCATAAAGTCGGCTCCGCCCGTTTTTAAGACATTCTTTACTGGTTTTTTGGTTACCAATTTCCAAATCATACTTTGAAGCCAACGAATCTTTCAAACAAATTAAACGGAAAAAATTTTGAAATAGTATTTGTAACTCATATGAAATAAAATGGGAAAAATGGAAACGATTCTGAAATTCTTTAAAAATTCTTCCTACTCTTAAAGGTTCTCATCTGCATAGAACTTCGCTCCCCTCGTTCTTTTACACCTCGGAAACTCTTCGCTGTTTATTAAATAACATTCAACCATTTTTACGCCATCCGCCAGAGTTTTCTGTTCAAGTGGTCTTATCTGGTCTGAGTAGGTGAAATAACATCCAATCATTTTATTACACACACACAAGTGCTGAATATATTCGTATGTATGTATATTGGTGCACACATTTCATAGCAACGTTCTTGAACTCCTTTGCACCCTTTTGGTAAATGTTGCATGTCATCATGCATTACACCCAAAGCGACTCAACACCCAACGCCACCATCATCATCGTGATGACGATGACGCCTTCGCCCAGTTCTGGCCTCAAACCAAAATTTTTATACCAAAAACACAAGGCGGTGGACCGGTGTGGGTGAATAACCCCGGTAAGTTTAACGAGAACAGATACAAAAAAGCGAACGGGGTGGATTTGGTAAATGTTTGTACAGAGAGCGGAGCTGTTTTTGTAGGTTTATATCCTTTAACCAGCTGAACTTTGCACTACTTATGTTGGCACCCATGTATTTTTCAAAATAGAAAAATGTTGTTTTGTTGTTGCTTTTTTATATTTTGTCTGTTGTAGTGCTCTCTGCATGAAATGAAAGAATCGAAATGGGCAGCAGCTGAATGTTGCTGGTATATATCCATGGTTGTTGTTCTAATAGCAACAAAGCTAACATATAACCAGCAAAACATGCAACATCAATGGCAAAGCTTTAGCCACAACAAAACCAACCGAAAAAAGGTCAGACACCGCTTTTCAAGAGATCTCTTGTTTAGCTAAATAAACATTGGCATTTTTTGCCTCCTCCTCCTTCTCCAAAATAGAAGGTCCACTGAATGGTTTTTTTTTTTTTGGTTTTCCTTCGATCTTTTTTTTTTTTTTTGGTTTTAAAAGAAACAAAAACAAGAATTGTTTTTCTCTTATATATGACCCCGAAAGGACCCCTTGCAAATGAAGCCAGAACATTTCATGCATTTTTACTAATTGTTTATTTGGGTGTTGCCTGTGGCTTTGTCAAACATCAATAGGCGTTTGCTTGACAATCAATGATGAGGGCTGGCTGGGTTTTCAATGTTTGCTGATACTAAAAAGCAGGAAAAATGTTTTGGGGACTTAGTAATGACCAAAGGGTTTTGTTGTTTGTTTGGTTTCTGGGTGCTAGACCTATATACCTCAAGAGGATCTAATTGATTTGCCCATTAAAAATTGAGAAATCCTATTATTAGTATGTGGTTGGAATTATCTAAAATGAAATGGGAAATTTGATTCTTGAAGTTTAAATGTAATTTCAAATTATTCTAATAGGGCCCATTTAAAAATTTGAAACTGCGAAAAAATTTGACACTTAAAAAGTCTTAGAATAGAGCTTCGCACTCTGACAGAGATCTTTGGATTACATCCAGATTCATTGGAAACGAAAATGGGTAAATTCGGTCCACTTTTTGGTATAAGGTTCATACTACGACTTACTATGATATCAAGTATTTTTTACGTTTTGTCGATGCCTTGACGTTTTGAGTTCTTGATATGAGGAAAATAATTCTCAATAAAGGACCACCTTTTTGTACAGTCCTTATAAAAATATAGGTCCTGTTTTAGTGATTGTGAGGGTTTTTACCTTATTTTCCAAGTGGTACAGGACATCACATACAGGGTGAGATGAAAAAACTGCAACCAATTTCAGACTGCTGTCATTTCTAAGCCACTCGTCCGACAGCTGTTAAAAATGATTCCAGTGACAGCTTATTATATTGTTTACAAACATACGAAAGCATTTTGGTGAGAATTTTCCAGAAAAAAAAAAAAACTTATTCGTGATGGAATTCAAGCGTGATAGTGTTATTTCTTTATGGCTGGAAAACCACAAGTGGCCATCGTTAGAGCACTCCAGAATTTAAATTTGAATAAATCATTTGTCTCTTACCATCGCTCGTTACCGTGATACTGGTAGCGTAGCCCGACGTCAAAGAAGAGGACGAAAGAAAACAGCAACGTCAGCAAAAATGGTTCGAAAAGTAAAGAAGCGATTTGACCGATACCCGCGTCGCAGCGGCCGAAAAATGGCTCGTGAGCTGAACATATCGCAATATTCCATTCGCCAAAAATCAACAAATGAGCTCGGGGTAAAGCCGTTGAAATTCCCGAAAGTGCAAATATTTACACCGCAACAGAAAGAAAATTGGCTCAAAAGAGCTGGGCCGACATAACAGCCGATAGTCGTTCTCCGTTCGTATTAATCGACCGTGTCATCAGAATAAATTCCGAATACTATAGCGAAAATATTCTGGAAGGGGTATTAAAACCTTGTCCGTAGACCTTGGACATTCCAACAGGACTCAGCACGCGCCACCCAAGAATGATTACAAAATACCGTTCCTCGCTTCATTTTCAGCGCATAATGGCCACCAAAATCTCCGGACACCAATCCATTGGACCATTATGTCTGGAGTATTTTTTGAAGCAAGGTTGGCACTAAAAAATACCAAAGTGTCGATCACCTCAAGCAAGCGCTTCGTCCTTGGGCCAAAAAATATATTTTTTTTTTTTTGGAAAATTTCATTCCATTTTGTTCACAAAAATACATGACGGACTGACATGTATAAATCGACTCAGAAAGTGATTCTATGAAAATCCTCAAAAGTAACTATGGGTCTACCTCGCTGCCTTATCCATGGATTACAAACAAATGCACAAAGACATAATACACTTACCACTATGTGGTGTAGGGTATAAAAATGTCCTATATGGAAGTTTATTTGTTGCAGGTAGCTCTACTTAATATTGTAGTGGTTAGGCTGGCATAAAGTTGGCCCTTCCCGACTATTGCACTTTACTGGCTTTCATAACATTAAATTGATAATAACTCGGCGTTTTGTTCCTAGAATGGTATGCAAGCCTATAGTTAATACCATTCAAACATAAAAATAATTTTTTCAATACATTTCGAAAAAGAGAACTTCTTAGAACTTAAGATTTTCAACCTATAAAGCATTAGTTACATAGGGAACAGAGTTTAACTTATCGGATCATAGTACTCCAAAAACTTTCTTACCTCTACAGACTTATTTTGCGTTAATTTATAATCAACAATTAATTTTTCAATTCTCAGAACTGGATTAAGAACTTTCTGTTTCATTTTCCTTTTGAGTTTCTTAAATTCCGCTCGATATATTCACCTGTAGTATTAATTTTCCCTTATAAAGAAACTGCATATAATTTATAATCTTCTGCTTGCACATAAATAATATTGTACAGGTGTTCGTTCATATGCATACGATGAGATAACAAAAAAAGCAAAAAAAAAAAAAAAAAGTAAAAAGAAAACGCAAAAATAAAAGCAAAAAATTCGCTTGTGATTTACATACAAAGTAAAACAAAACAAAGACGTAAGGTATGACATTAAAGCCAGTGCCACAATTTGCCTGGGCGAGAGGCGATGACAAACTGCATAATCCTGTCCTTTGCAAATTCTCTTCATTCATATGCATTTGCCTGGTCGCCTCCTTATCCATGGCTAAATAACGCTCTACGTAGAAGGGGAAAAAGCATTGCACTGCATTGCATTTGTTGTTGCAATATTTCTTTCTTCCATTTTTGCGAAGCATTCGTTCTCATATATTTTAATTCTTTTCCTTGTTATATGCACATAAATAAAACCTTTATTCCATATATGTGTGTGTATATATGTATGCCGTCATTTGTGTGTGTGTCTCCATGTGTCTTATGTCTGTATCCGTTTCCTCTCATTTTTTCTTGCAGGTTCTCATCCGCCACGAATAGTGGAACATCCAATTGACACAACCGTACCACGCCATGAACCAGCGACGCTTAATTGCAAAGCGGAAGGCTCGCCCATACCCACAATCCAATGGTACAAAGACGGTGTAGCATTGAAAATTCTACCCGGTTCACATCGGATAACATTGCCGGCAGGTGGATTATTTTTTCTTAAGGTAAGTGTGAATAATGCAGAGAAATAAGAAGACAAAAAATATGAGAAAAATATTATCCCAAATGAAGGGAAATGAAATAAAACATAATAAACCAGCAGGGTTTAGGGCGAATATAATTTAGAGTAGGAAATAGAAAATGAGTGCGAGGTTATGTTAGATCTCCTTGGGGCGTAAGGATGATTCTAAGCCAAATACAGAGGAAGATATGCCATTCATGTTAAATCTATAGATGGTATGTCTCCAGAAGAGACTCTCCGTGAAACGGAAAAAACAGTGATATTCTATTATTTAAGAAGTTCTCAAAAGTCCATTATTTAATGTTCTTCTATAAAATTCCATTTTATAAGTGTGGAATCTCCATATAGGATTTTGGTGTAATAATGGCCTTTTAAAATTTATACGCCGGCCCGAACTTTGAATACCCTCCACCATTTGGAACAAATTAGAAACTTAAAAAAAAAAATAAATAAAATCCATTAAAAATTCTTTTAAAATCTTTAAAATATCTAATATAAGAAGGTGCCGATATATGGGGGGATATACGATATTGTCTACCTATAAAGATAAATCTATGTCTGCGTGTAAAGTACTCACAAGAAACTCCTTGTGTGGATTTTCAGATAATTCAATTGGAAAAAGTGGCTAAAATCATCAAAATACCGAATATCGCTAACCTATATAGAGAATTCTCTGTCGGGGGGTAAAGTGCTCACAAAGAACCCCTTGTGACCATTCCGTTGAAAAATATGGCTAAAAACGTCGAAATACCGAATATCGGGGGTACCGTTATATGAGGGATATACGATATCGTGGACCTGTATAGAAAATTCTCACTCAGGGGGTGAAGTACTCACAAGGAACAATTTGTGTGGATTTTAAGACAATTCCATTGAAAAGTGTGGCTAACATCATCAAAATACCGAATATCGGGGGGTACAGCTATATGGGGATATACGATATCGTGGACCTATATAGATAATTCTTTTTGAGGGAGTAAAATGCTCACAAGGGACTCCTTTTGTGGAATTTCAGACAATTCCATTGAAAAATGTGGCTAAAATCATCTAAATGCCGAATATCGGGGGGTACCGTTATATGGAGGCTATACGATATTGTGGACCTATATAGATAATTCTCTGCCGAGGTATAAAGTACCCACAAGGAAATACTTGTGTGGATTTTCAGACAATTCCATTGAAAAATGTGGCTAACATCATCAAAATACCGAATATCGGGGGTACCGTTATATGGGGGCTATACGATATCGTGGTCCGATATAGCCCATCTTCGAACTTGACCTGCCTGCAGACAAAAGAGAGATCTGTGCTTCTATCTTCCTATCTTAATTCGTTTAGACTGTAGCGTGATTACAACAGACGGACGGTCAGGGCTAAATCTTCTTAGAATTTTACGCTGATCAAGAATATATATATACTTTGTTGGGTCTAAAATGATTACAAAGACGTGGACCTGCATACGAAATTTTTGTCAAAGGCTTTGAATACGAAACTGGAAAAAATATAGGTGAACAATGTATATAAATCATGAAAATACCGAATATCGAGAGGTACCGTTATATGGGGCTATACGAAAACGTGACCCATTCCTACTGACAAAATACACACGTGTGCAAGATTTTAGCTTTCTATCTCAATTCGTTCAAAGGAATATATCAGATACAGCCTATAAACATCTTTGCTTAATTTTCCTCGAGATTCATTCATATATATCTTAGTCCGAATTCAAGTTTATTGTGCACCAAATGTGCAATATCAGCCCAAATAGAATGAGTTTTGGCCCATTCGGCCGATATAATCCTAGAAATACGACAAATTTGGTGAACATCGGTTCAAATGTACCTAAAACTCCCGTATACAATACAATCGATTTGATATTTAAGTCCCTCAAATCTGTAATGTACACACCACAACAATATTTGTTACCAGATATCAGATACATATATTTATGACTTAATTCAAGAATTCTCATAGTTATTTCATGCACCCTACTGCAATAGTATTTGGTACAAGAAATAAAAATACCTCCGTCAAATTTAATGGAAATCAATTCGGAGCTGGATATATATCCCTCTCCCCATATGGGTCCACGTTTTGCTCAAGTTTCCACATAACTGAATCTCCATATATTCGGCATTTTGATAATTTTTTCACACCTTTAACCGAAATTCTTTTGAATTCGGTATTTGGAGTTCGTACTTGCCTTCTATGACAAAAAAGTTTTTATACTGGTCCACGATTTCGTTTAGCCTCCATAAAACGTTCCCCCCAATTTTCATATTTTTAGTTCCATTTTTCAACAGAATTATGTCAAACTTTATATCTGGAGTTTTTAATAAGCTCCACTTTTCCTGACAGATAATTGTGTCTAAATGTTAACGTTATGGTATAGCCGACATTTCCTCCAAGTATCTGGTGTTTTTAAGATTTGCAGTGGGAGCTATTTCCTACGAGAGAAATTTCCTTGTACAGATCCACGTCTTCGAATAGTCCCCACATAACGGTACCTCTCTATGTTCGGTATTTTGATGATTTTATCTAAATTTTCAGCAGTTCGCAATAGTCTTTGGTAGATAATTGGCTATAGAGATCCACGTTTTCATATTGCCCCTTATCACAGTAATAGCAGATTTTTTAGAATTTTACCGACAGTTTTTCATTTTGCTAGTTCCTCCCTTCCAGTAGCTGGTATTAAAAGTTCGGCCTGTCCGAACTAAGCTAATCTTTTACTTGTTTAAATTTCGAAATTACATTTTCCAAATGGGAAAAAGTTGTTGATGGATAAAGTACTTTAATAGGTTTACTCCCAATTGTTGTCTCTAGACTTTAAATTTGTGAACTCTATTGGCAATGTTAAAGTTTTCCAATGTGCGATATCATAACATTATTTGCTTTTTGGGGACTTAAAAATAATTCGAAATGTCCACTTCAAACTTATTCACCAATTTTCTGAAAAAATTATACACAATGTGTGGAGATATGGGGGCTATAGGAAAGCGACAATGTCCTACCAAATGAAGTGGTATTTTGAAACATGTGAAAAAAAACATTAAGTTCGGCCGGTCCAAACTTTTAATACCATCCACCTTAGGGTAAAGGAAACGTTAGAAGAAATTTGACAACAACCATTAAAATGTCGAATATTGGGAGGTATCGTTATATGGGGGCTATACCGAAACGTGGACCTACAATTACAATGACGAGCCATACGAACTGGGACTGGGGATGATCCACAACTACCAATTTTCAGAGAAATTCGTGAAAAAATGTGTCAAAAATCATCAAAATACCGAATAATGGGAGGTACCGTTATATGGAGACTATACCAAAATGTGGACCCATACATACAATGTTTTGGCACACGTACAGGGACTCATTACGACCCACAAATACCAATTTTTAGACAAATCAGTGCAAAAATGTGGCAAAAACCATCAAAATACCGAATATCGGGAGGTGCCGTTATATGGGGACTATACCAAATCGTGGACCCATACATGCAATGTTTAGCTACCGTAACTGGAACCCATTGTGACCAACAAATACCAACTTTTAAACAAATCCGTGAAAAAAATTTGGCAAAAATAATCAAAATATCGAATATCGAGAGGTACCTTTATATGGGGGCTATACCAAAACGTGGACCTATACATGCAATGTTTTGCCACACGTACAGGGACCCGTTATGACCTACAAATACGAATTTTCAGACAAATCCGAGAAAAAATGTGGCATAAATCAGCAAAATACCGAATATCGGGAGGTACCGTTACATAAGGATTATATCAGAACGTGGACCGATATATCTCATTTTCAATACCAACCATCCTAGACACAATACAAATTGCTCTGCTAAATTTTGGCGCTCTACGTCAAAAAATGTGGGCTGTATCGTGATTTCAACAGACATACAGACAGACAGACGGACATCGTTAAATCGACTTAAAATTTTATGCTGATTATGAATATATATACTTTATGGGGTCTACGACGAATATTTAAGGATGTTACAAACGGAATGACAAAGTTAATATACCCTTCTTTCCAAGGTGGAGGGTATAAATGTCGCTTAAATAGTCAAAATACTAAATATTGAGTGGTACCGACATGGGCTATTTACGTACTTAACCAGCCAATTAAAAAATACGCACTGTAAAATTTTAGCCTTCTATCTCAACACGTTCGATGGATAGCGTGAATATAACAGACTGACAGACGGACATGGGTTAACTCAATTAGATACGCTGATCCAGAATATATATACTTTGTAGGGTCTATGGGGCATATAAAAATGGATGAATTGTATAAGCCAGTAGTTTTCGAATTGATAGATTATACGCTTTGCTATATACTCCTGCGTTAAGAAAAAATCCCTACAAATAGAAAACCCAAATTCGGTCTTACTCAGTGTAATACATTTTTTTCACCTAGTCATAATATGTATCCAAACAAGTTCCCTTTAAAAGCTCTTCTCTCTGGACTTTGAATCCATAGTTGAGTTTCTGCTTTATATCCAACCCCTCAATCCCATCCACCCCAAAAAAACTGATATCAATGATTTCTTCATTAAAAACATTCTTAACTCTGACGATTACCTTGCCTTAATTTTTATCCAAAGGACACTTAAAAAAATGACTTCACAATTTCTTTGTTATTTTTTCTTTTCTGAAATTTTCTTATTTGGGTTATTTCTCTCCTTGGACCATTTATTTTCAAGCCTTTTATTTGTCAGAAAAATACATAAAATTTCCTTTGATTTCCATCTTCTTCTGCTGTGCTCAAGAGTCATCTTGTTTTCCTTTCCTTTTGTCTTCTTCGGTCCAGACAAATGAAACACAACAATATGGGAATGTGGTCTGAATTAATTTCTGTATTCCAGAACTTAATTTTCTGACTGACATTGCAATTTATGTGGGAGATACGGGGAAGGTGTTTCGATAATTTTTTTTTTTGCACTTTTGTCCACAACTCGTGCTTTCATCT